CCACGAGGAACCATAGGAATGGCTGGACTCCTGACAGCGGAGGACCCGAGTGATCGACCGGGGTAGGCGTGATGTCGCTCAGGATCATCGAGGAAAGTCAATCGAAATGAGGAGGAACAAATCGCGGAGAAGCGTCATCGAGGACATATGCGGGTGCACCGCTCTGTCGTCGGTCATCCAAAAGAAAGATCTCAACTCCACCTCAGGTAAGACTATAGCAAAGAAATTTACGAAGTGTAAGTTGGACCGCAAAGATAAAACCTCACTTCTACGATACGTGTATCATTAGATGTGCTAAACATCCCTAATGTATCCGATGCCTTTCTTGTCAAACGTTGCGCGACAGGTCCTTTTTCGATTATCAACGATCAAGGTATTAGATATTATATAATTATCCGAAATATCGCATCGTAAAAATTCTCACAAGTGAATGTAAAATTCTGGAAACAATACTGTATACATACATATTAGAATATAATCAATTCGAATGCTATCCATTTCTATCAATGTAGATTACCTTTAATCTCGATAGTTAAATCGAAATTAAACTATAATACATTAATAGAAACAAGCATGAGACGGATTTTAAGGCCCAGTTCAACAAATGCAAGGTTAACTTTAATTTCGGTTTGACTCGATTTACCATTTATCTTTTTCCAATTTTAGAAATTTTAATTCCAACAATTAGAAAAAGATAGATAGAGTAAATTAAACCGAGGTAAGGTTAATCTTACATTTATGGAACCGGGCCGAAATCGGTCGGCACCGGTGAGTCGTTCAAAGTTCGTCGACGGTTTGCGATTCGATCGATCGTCATACACGTGTTCTCTGGATGACGGAAAACCCGGCGCGATCGATGATGTGCTCGCAACCTTGAACGAGAAAAGCGACCACTGATCGCTTCCTCTTTCTCGTAATAGAGAACTCTTCGTGGCGATACTTGATGGAAACACTTCCGGTCTCTGGCTAGTGAGATCCAGATGTTAAAGAGATTCTGCTTTTATCGGATTTGTTTCTACGTTTCTCCTTCTTGTCCTTTTCTCTCTTTGAATTACGTTTATCATTACGCTTTCTTCATATACATCTCTTTGGATGCTTTCTTCTTGTTTTTAGCGATTATTATATTGTTTCGTTCCTCGTTATTTACTCTCTTCGAAAAGAAGTAGACATATTACCATTTTTTTTTTAGAACGACTTAAATTTAAGTGAAAATGAAAGAGAGAGAGGAAACAATACGTTTCTTTACGATAAAATTGATAGTCGCTACACTGAAAAAAAAAATTACTAAATTTTAATAAATATTTGTTTGAATAGTATTAAGTAAATTTATTTGCTAAATATAAATATTATAAACGTGGAAATGGCATTGTAAGAGTCAAACGAAAAGAAAATTAACAACAAATTAATACATATATTTTAAAATGAACTTATAAAATTTACATAAATGTAACGATTAAAAAAAACGGATGTTAATTACATTACTAGTTTCGACCAACAAATCTGGTCCTCTTCAGATGAAACACTTTACGTTGAAATGTACATAATTATGGACAAACATCAATACAAAAGAAAATCTTGTGACTCTTACAATGCCATTTCCACGTTTATAATGTTTTTAAAGAAAGAGTCCTTTATTTATTCTATTTTTGTTAAATATAAATAGACATATGTTTGATACAAAAATCATTAATTTATTATCCTTTTTTTATCGAGTAAATATTAATTTTTTTGTAAGCAAATATTTATTTAGTACTATTTAAAGAAATGTGTAATAAAATTTAATAAATTTTTTCTTTGTAAAGATGTCATGAAAATTGTACCGTTACTCGAAAACAAGTGTTATATAGACATCGCTCTATCTATATTTACTCCGTTCTCGTAACTGTCTCGGTTCTTATTGAATTGATTCTAATTTCTACGATTTTTCTACTTTTACGGATACAGGTACGATAATTCATGTGTTATCTCCTCAGGGTATCATTTCAAATAGAACAAAAGACGTAAATTTTCGTAAAGAAAGGTCCTGAATCACAATTGACTCGTCGAACAATTGGCGCGTGGCGATATTCCCGCCTCTTTTCTACTTTTCTTCTCTTCTTTCCCGTTCTGCGTGTTCTGCCCCCTCCATTGGTCCAGCAGCAGCCACCAGCTGGTTTGTTTCTGGCTGTGTGGACGTCCCCGACCCTTCGCAGAAGCCAGTTTTGAATCTTCGAAGTGAGTCGGCAGTCGGTGGCGCTTACGTTTCCTCGATCGAGATCCCTCTCCAATCTCTTCCATTCGCCTCTTTCATCGCCGTGGCATCGGATTTGTCCCTCGCAATTTCTTCACGTGTGATATATACATATCGGCCGCATCACTCAAGGATTCCAAGCGTGGCGAACAGTACATATGAATTACGTGACTTCGAAGCCATGTCAACAAACATCGGGCTCGCCTCCTTAGTCGCCCCACTACCTTGACGGGGTGCCGCTTGCGGTCCCCTCGTCTGGACCAGGGACCCTAGGGGCCCCGGCAGGTGTGAGACAGTGTTTCCATTCACTGCGAAGTGGCAGCGAGGAAAGTAACAACGAAGACGGTTTTCCTTAGTGAGCCGTGTTTTTAAATGGTGAATTAACGGTACAATTAATGCGCGAATGATTGAATATACTGATTTACAATTCGACAAGGCCGACCTCGTGTGAGTCTCAAGATTCAAATCTCGAACTTGTTTCCCACGTTAAAGGAGCTAAAAATAGTGATACTTCAATCTCTGGAGATAAAGTGATACTTTAATTTCAGAATAATAACAATTTTTTATATGCAGTAAACATGTAATGGAAAAGTTGAAGGAGTAATAATGTGAATGTGAAAGCGTAATTAAACTCGCGGCGCAGTTCGTTGAAACCGAGAAGAGTGCTCGATAAGAATCTCAAATTCCGGAAGGTGGCACGAAGCTGAATGTCACTATCATGGTTTTCTTCGGAAGAAAGGAAAAGCTGGAGGATCGGCGATTGCTGGCCAGCATGGATGCCGTGAACGGATCGATAATCCATCAAATCGACAACGGTAAAAGTTGTTCAATTATTGCGCCGCATATTCATCGATTATACGCAACGCGTATCTCATCACGGATGAGACATGATGAATGGTTTCTCGTGATGAACGAAAGTGGTTTCTGGCGAAATTATCTCGTCACAGTTTCCTTGAAATTAAAAAGAAATATTATTGCATTTTATATACATCTATATGAGTATAATAGGTATGCGCGTTCTCGATAGCGAGGCATATTTCCTCGAACGTCCGGTAGGAACGAGCACAAATATTATATCGTCGACCGCATATTTTTAATTCCTTCCTTTCTCACCCCACCCTCGTTTACTTTTCCCTTTTATTTTAACGACCGTGCCATAACGGTTACGCCTTTCGGTTGACGACTTTCAACGGTCGCGTTTTCTATTTGCTTGTAAGATTCATCAGCGCATAGCAATAAGCGAGCCACTTCAGAATTGCGTTTAATGAACTAATTAAATTGTTAATATTGTTGAGAGAGAGAGAGAGAGAGAGAGAGAGAGAGAGAGAGAGAGAGAGAGAGAGAGG